AGATGCGACGGAAGTGGACGGATTGATATCTGAGTTTTACAGTGAGCTGGAAAATGACAGCCTCCATGAATCCTCGATGAACTGTACTTCAAACGAAACAGTCGTCCATGATGCGCCCGGTGGTCCAGTACTTTCTATTCCAGAAACATGCCCGGTAATGGAGTCAAACTCCATCATCCCAGAAACAGCATGTACAGACAGTAGCATATCCAGCTCACGAAAGGATTCTCTTGTTTTGCCAGAGAATGTGTCACATGCATCAAACAATGGTCAGAAATCTAATACAATTTTGATAGATGCTGTTTATTTTGGTAACGTATTATCCACTAATGGAATTTCGAAGAGATCTGATGGGAATGTTTCACAAGAATCAAACTCTAATGACCTCATATCTACTGTCGCTGATCCTCAGCATCTAGTCAGCTCTAGTGGACTCTCTACTCAATGCGGGAAATATGCTTTAAATAGAGTCACACTAACTGTTACTTGGGTATACGAGGACCCAACATTATTCCGCGGGGGAGGATAGACGCGAAGAAATCCAAAATCCGGATATCAACTCCGGATCTTCAAAAAAGGGGAGGTGTTGGGATATTCAGGAAAATATCCCAGAAATTATCCTATTAGCCTGATGCTATTCTTGGACTTGGACATGGTATTATTTTCTTATTGGTCAGTACTTATTTCACGTGTCATTTTCCTACTGGCCAATATTGTATAATGTTATTTTCTATTTTATGGTATGATGTGGTTTGTTTGACTGGTATATAAACAAAGTATGTTTGAAATATAATGATTCATATATCCGAGGCTGTGACTTTCGTTCTGGACTCAACTGCTGGGCTAGATAGGGAAGCGGGACCAATCAGAACCCTAGGTCGTTCTACGTGTCTGCGCGTCTTTGGTCCGATCGATAAATTCGCTACCCCTCTAATCTGCTGCCGTCTCACAGTTATAACAATTGGCGACGGGGTGAAGAAAAAAAACAACAATCCAAAGTCATTCTGTAATTGGACGAAATCTAGTCTAATTATTTCAACCAATCAGCATCGAGATTGTCGTCACTGTCCTTCAACGACATTGGTCATTATTCACAGTAATTTTCATCACAGGTGCTGATTCGAAAAAAATGACTCTCCCTTCCGATCGATTACAGCTGCTCTTTGAACGACATTTGGAGTTATTAGTCAAATTCCGCACGCAGCTGCTAAATCAGTCACGCTATGAAGATGCGACGGAAGTGGACGGATTGATATCTGAGTTTTACAGTGAGCTGGAAAATGACAGCCTCCATGAATCCTCGATGAACTGTACTTCAAACGAAACAGTCGTCCATGATGCGCCCGGTGGTCCAGTACTTTCTATTCCAGAAACATGCCCGGTAATGGAGTCAAACTCCATCATCCCAGAAACAGCATGTACAGACAGTAGCATATCCAGCTCACGAAAGGATTCTCTTGTTTTGCCAGAGAATGTGTCACATGCATCAAACAATGGTCAGAAATCTAATACAATTTTGATAGATGCTGTTTATTTTGGTAACGTATTATCCACTAATGGAATTTCGAAGAGATCTGATGGGAATGTTTCACAAGAATCAAACTCTAATGACCTCATATCTACTGTCGCTGATCCTCAGCATCTAGTCAGCTCTAGTGGACTCTCTACTCAATGCGGGAAATATGCTTTAAATAGAGTCACACTAACTGTTACTTGGGTATACGAGGACCCAACATTATTCCGCGGGGGAGGATAGACGCGAAGAAATCCAAAATCCGGATATCAACTCCGGATCTTCAAAAAAGGGGAGGTGTTGGGATATTCAGGAAAATATCCCAGAAATTATCCTATTAGCCTGATGCTATTCTTGGACTTGGACATGGTATTATTTTCTTATTGGTCAGTACTTATTTCACGTGTCATTTTCCTACTGGCCAATATTGTATAATGTTATTTTCTATTTTATGGTATGATGTGGTTTGTTTGACTGGTATATAAACAAAGTATGTTTGAAATATAATGATTCATATATCCGAGGCTGTGACTTTCGTTCTGGACTCAACTGCTGGGCTAGATAGGGAAGCGGGACCAATCAGAACCCTAGGTCGTTCTACGTGTCTGCGCGTCTTTGGTCCGATCGATAAATTCGCTACCCCTCTAATCTGCTGCCGTCTCACAGTTATAACAGTGTGATCCACTTCGGCATTATTACTTCTGTAATAATAGACTTAATCCTAAAATTACAGGTTGGTCATGATCTAAATGCCCAATCTATAAAATCTTACGTTTAAGTCACATCGTTGTCTATCCTGACTCATCGTATTGTAACATTCAATATATGATGGAGAACACATTTGGGCTGGAGAGGGAACAATTTATTGAATATGGATAACAATTATTTTTCATAAGTTTGACCATAACAGCAATTCCGAGCCATACCATCCGATCAATCAATCAATTCATTTGCAATCAATGTTACCACGTCCACCTTCTCTTGGTGTTAATAATAATAATAATAATAATAATAATAATAATAATTTATTCTCAAATAACAGTTTGTTACAAGAGGCATGCCAGTTTACAGGCAAGATCAAATTGATACAAATGATGCAATATTCACTTCAGTAAATTACATAGCTGGGTTGATAATTTATAAGATATGAATCTAGATGGTTTTAATCAGTACCACAGTTGGCGCGCTTCGTGAAAGTTGCGTTTCAAATGTGCGACTGATGGTGAAGGATAGGTTCATTGAAGGTTGGAGCTTCTAAATGTCACAACCTCATGTCCCCTTGGAATGTCTAAGGCTTTGAGGATGGTGCAGGATGAAATCTTTCGTTCCATATCACAAGGGGGCTGAAAGAGGGAGCAAGTAAAAGAAAGGACGAGAGGCAGAGTAGCCAATATCCATGAAGGAATGTTTAAGGTATGATTACTCAGTCTAATTTTCTTTTATTAAGGTATTTGTTAAGAAAGAGCATTTTAATAGGTAAAAGAAAATAAGTGTTAACAAGGTGTGAGTGGACATACAACTGACAAATGGAGGCAACTCGGAAAGGAGCTGAGAGTATGGGATTATGTGTGGTTATAAAATAAAATATAGTGCTAGAAACAGTATTGTGATATACAATTGGTTATCTTCCTTTTATTATCGAAGCTATTAGATCCTCTTTCGCTTTTTTGTATCATTATTTTTTTCCGGGTATTATAAGGTCTTGAGTAGGCTACGTATATTAGCGCATTGTCTTGTTTGCTTGTAATAGGATTTCTGGGTGGGAAGTGAAACCAATTCAACATTCGTAACACGATTTAAAGAGATATTTTGCGTGATAAGTCAGTATCAGTACCATAAGTTCGTGACATCTCACTAAACCATAAGGAGCCGTAATTAAACAAAATGTTGAAAGTCTATTTTCCAAATTATCTCATGTTCGGCTTTAAGGATTGTGGTTAGGATCCAATGCCAGTACAGATTTATCGTAGTCGTCTTCCACTGGTGATGTAGTTCTATTACCTCTACATGGTTCTGAGATATCCTGGAGGTATTGTCTTCCAAAATAAAGAATTTATGAGGGCTCAAAGAAGTTCCTAAGCCCAGAACAAACACTTGTTACCTGACCATAGACTTTCCTGTCGAATCACTAGCAAACAGAACTCTTTACCTCTGCAAGTAATTAGAGCTCCATCTATTGATGGATTCAAAAGAAAGTTTGATCATTTGAGAGACTACCATCATCATGAGGCCGCCCATCCTCTATTTCCAAACTGAAACTGAGTAATTATGTTTGAATTTTAAGGCTAAGTAACAGTGCATTAATGTAAAACATTGCACTCATTATTGTGTATGCAGTTGTATTGAATTAAACAAGAATCTATTACGCAGGATTTACTGACGTAATGAATTATAAAGATCTAGGAGTCATTACAAATGATAACCTTAAGACTACTAGTGACTGTAAAAATGCTGCTTCCAAAGGCTTTAGGGTTTTGTGAGTTGTGTGTAAGTCATCACGTCACTGTAATAGAGAAACATTTAGGGTGATATACACGATGATTGAGAGGCAACATTCAAGAGTTGGTATTCCAGTAGTTAATCCTTGTTTCAAGTACCAAGTGGATATGATAGAACAAGTTCAATAGAGGGGATCAGAATGGGGCGAGGTCTCAATGACACATCTTATGAAGACAACCTGAGACGACTCAACCTGTTCTCAGCATCTTACGGCAGGTTACGAAATAGTTTGTGATGATAGTTAACATAGATGTATTTCGTAATTACTCACATTTGCTACAGCAGGTTTTTTAGTAGCAGGTTCTATGTGAAGCCCACATAGGCTATTCTAGCTTCCAGATAAACCAACAGATTCATTCTTTACAAACCACATTTTGGCCTTGTCACTTATTGGCTGATTAACCCTGACTGCTTTTTATATGATTACAAGTGTGTTAACTACTTACCCTAAATATCATGTCTGTAACTCTTCTTTTGCCATAAACGTCAGTCGCATTGGCTCACTCTCCTTGTCTACTGCGCATCACTTTGTATCGTTTAGCTCTGCTCTCTTCAATTCGCTTCTCTCGATATCTAATTGGATCGATAAGTGTATGAGATGTACGTACTCAAACTTCATTCTCGTATTTGAATCATTCAATTCCGTCACCCCTTAACGCAGATTATGTCGTTAATTACATATGGAGATGGCCGACATGCATATTTCAGTGACAATGAACATGCAAACCAACTGGAGTCAGATACCGGAGCCAATAACATTTTAATACTGGTCTACCATATACTGAACGACGAGTTTGGAACTAAGATGTTCTGTCTTTTCCACTAGTCTAGGGCTGATCACCTAGGAGGACATTCTAAAAACGTTCAAACACCGAGATTAAATCGTTTACTTCTGGAATTCTATTTTCTCTCACTGAGTAATGCATTAATGAAATTTTCCGCCACAACACTTAATGTCACCATTTTCTGTTGGCAAATTCAAGGCGAGGTTAGGTCTCTACGTTATTGCAAGGTGCAAGGGTTAACACAGTTGATTTACCTTCTCTCCAAACTACTGAAGACTGAAGGTTGTGGATCACAAAGAGCATTGAACACAGAATGCACACATACGAGTTCGACGTTACTTACAACTTCTAACCTCGCACTATTAACCTGTTGTCCTCGTTATCAGATTGTCTTAACCGCACCCTCGCGTTATTTATGATTGTTGTCAATTGATTTCCTTATCAAATGTAAGTGCATTCTCTGTACATAATGAGTCGTCAGCTGAATTTTTTCCTGTTATTTTCTCGGTGAGACTATAATTTATAGACGAACCAATCATATTTAAAGTAACAGGAGTTGGATTTTGGCGCGAAACTCACTTATTCATTTAGCTAGATAGCATTTTAGCATTCTAGCTGATGTTTATAACACTCCTCCAACACAAGAAGCCTTCAGGCTAAACATAAGCCTACACAAGGCTGAATAATACAATTCTAGCAGGTGCACCGTCTTCGTCCTGTTTTCAGAAAAGAGATCATATTTGATGTTATCTATCTACGCGATATATTGGAAATTATATGTTTATATGGCTTGTAAGACGAAATAAACGTGTTGGGTTTCTAGGGCTAAACAACAGTGCGTTAACCTTACTCATTATTGTATATGCAGTTTTATTGGATTAAAAAAGGACCTACTACATAGAATTCTGCTCTACATCACTTTACAAACATAAAACATGCTTGATGAAGCAAGGGGAAATGCTTGGGTCCCAAGTGCTTTGGTACATATGGTATTCTAAGGGCACTATTTGTGTATGATGAGAACGTTATATGACCAATGCTAACCACCCGACCTTACTCCGTCCACTGTGCTCACCCACTTGTTAGATTGGTCAGATATAGTTCCGTGTGACTCGTCAATCACTGCTTGTTTATTGGAAAGAATTATGCTTTGAGTGTGGCGAAAATGAAGAACTTAACTTGTTTAATATGCAACCCGGAATTGGTGATTCGTAAACATCCAAATAGGACTTCGAAACGATACGCTCAATAAAACTGGTCAGGTATAAGTATACAGTGTCTTTCAGATCCTACATTTCAAGTGTACTTTCTGTCACTTAACACTTCGTTTTTCTCTTTCCCTTAACACTAATTTGTTTGTTGTGCGGTAGTGTAGAATAATGGTACAAATAAGCATGCTACTATGGTTAACAAGGGATTTCGAGAATATCTAATAGGCTTTAAATGATGAAGTATTTTATTTATGTGGACTGAATTACTATGTTCACCTTAATTTTTTAAGCTCTTGTCTCAATTTTATTAATTTTTCATGTGCTTTTGGCTCCATTTCTGTTTGTTATTTGGTTCTTTCGATTGCAATGAATTTCATTTTGTCCTACATCAGCTGTAAAGTTGCAGCTTAAACATTGCCCGGATAAAGTTTTACTCATTTGTATGTTATATTACTCTCGAACGTCAATAATGCTCCTCTAGGTTTGTCAACCATCCTCTTTCGAAAGTATTTATGAGTAACAGATCAGATTCAGACTCTTATTATCTATAATTTTTGGGTCCTTCGATGTATGTAGATGTCTAGATACATTAATGTGTACAATATGGATTCACCTAGTAATTTTCTGATGGTGGAATTCGGCTGTTACTGAAGAACTTCTTCTGGAATTCACGGTGTCGTCGATTTTGATTGCAACTATGACCTGTCTCTGCGCTTCACTACTGATTCTCACTAATCTCTTCAGTACCTGACACTAAAAAATACATACCGACCAAACACCCATACATGATTTAGGTGACTGTTCTCGTTTTGTGTTTTGGTTTTTTCATGTACGCTCTCGGCTTCCTAAGACCACCACTAATTCAGTTTTGCTTCCAGGTCCCTCAGTAAAAATATCGTTCCATAATGTGGGGAGCAGGAAATTGACGACTGCCGTCATACCTCTAATAGCATTGAAGATAATCTTGTTCACGGTCGAATACCTCCATCATCCAATAATTCTTCCATCCCTATAACTAACTATTCTCGCATACTTTTATCACCACACACCACTACTGCTAATGATTTCAGTTCATGAACTGTTATTTCTGGTCTCCTGAAACCACGCTCTAAACTAAATGTTTGAGCTTCTGATGTTCGAATCTTGTGTCAGATAGGACAATATGCTTCTTTAACTAGGACTCTAGAATCTCGCGCCACCGATGTATGCTACGCCTCTGAAACGCGCATACAGGATTCAGGTACAGTCGTTCATTTGACCTAACCTTGTCCATATAAAGAACAGGTACGTTTTACTCCTTGTGTACCTAGAGACCAACACTGTTACTGCCCGTGGCCTCGTTTTGTGAGTGTATGACTAAGTTCACCAGGAGAATAGGGTCTGCCAGACTGCATTCCAATAAAAAGCTGCTTGTGTGACTAAACAGGACAGTAAGAACTCGGAAAGATAATGACAAAAGTCGCTGCTTCCTCGTTCTCTCTACCTAAGCTCCCAATGACTGCAGCTCAGATAAAGCTGAAGATGACTTTTATGGGAAGCTATCGAACGTCGAAAGAAGAGCTAAACACTTTGATGCAGAAGCAATTACAGATTATTTTAATACTCATGTAGGTAAACTGAACCAAACCGAAAAATACTTAGGTAGATTATACGATGAGGCGGCTCAGCGAATAGATAATAGAAACCGACGGTTGCAACTATGCGCAGATAACCGTCGACAAGCACCAAATTTAAACATAAGGAAGAACACCGGCTGGCATGGTGAACCCTACGATCGAATCAACAATGAACTCAGTTAGTTAGTCAGTCAGCTACAACATAGGACCAGGCACATATATGCATCAGTTCAAGTTGCCATACCTCATTAACACAACAAGATGGACACCGGATTCATAGTAGTTAATCCAATGGTGGTAATATATAAAAGAAAGATTGTATGTAAGGATATAGTACAGGAAGAAAGAATTAGTTTGTAGGAAGAAAGATATGAAGTGATTTTAATCTCTTAGTTTAAGGGAGGACAGAGAGTGTATACATCGACGCCATTGTGATCGATTCTGAGCCATGTCACCAACAGTCTCCAACCATTGGTTACGATAGTCACGAGGACCCCAACCAAGTAGTCTGCATCTACCAGCATGGCTCAGACTAGAAGTTAGTGACTTCAAGCTGGGATGCCACGTTTTGGTTTGGCTACCGCCAACTTTCTTCCAACCATCTCTAACACCGTTTAGCATTGCACGTCGTGGTAATCGGTGTTCAGGCATGCGTAACACGTAGCCCAGTCATCTCAGTCGATAAAGATTCACAACCTCATCAACTGATTTACCATCATTCCGTAATACCCTGCGTCTAACCTCACTATTACTTACCCGGTGATCCCAGCAAATGCGAGTAACATTTCTAAGGCATCTCTAGTCAAATACTAGTAGCTTACGAGTATCTTCTACTCTTAATGGCCATGTTTCGCTGCCGTAAATTAAAACAGAACGGGCTGCCGCGCAGTATACTCGTCCTTTTATTGATAGACGGATGTATCGCCTTCGCTATAGGTGACGTAAGTTGGCAAAATCCAAACGAGCTTTTCGAATCCGTGCTGAAATTTTGTCAGACACCAACCAAAAGACTGCATTTTATCAGCGTCTTCACCAAACAGGACTATGTCATCTGCGTATTCTAAGTCGATAAGTGGACCTTCTGGAGGGAGATCAATGCCCGAGAGTTCAGTCGACGATGACGTTATTTCTAGCAGTATGTTTATGATGAAATTGAACAAAATTGGAGAAAGTGAACAGCCTTGACGGACACAACTCGGGGTCGCAAAAGCAGGTGACAGTTCGCCGTAAAATATGACTCGACTTGTAGTGTCCGAGCAAAGAGAATTCACAAAGTTTATCTACTTCTGAGGTACGCCTTTCAATGACAGACACTGCCACACAACCTCTCGGTCTACAAAGTCGAATGCCGCTTTAAAGTCGAAAAAGACTACCATTGTCGGAAGCCGATAAGCATGCCCGTGTTCTAAAACCTGACGAATAGTGAATATATGGTCGATGCAACCTCGATCAGGACTGAATCTAGTCTGACTTTCTCATGTTTACAGTTCACGAGTCTTTGTTAAGTGCCCGATAATTATTGAGGATAGTATTTTAGATACTATATTAGTTAAACTAATCCCTCTATGGTTGTCACAGGATTTTAACCCTCTCTTATATATTGGGACGATGAGTGATTGTGATCAGTCAGATGGAATAACGTCTAACTCCCAGATCTTAGCTAAAATATTAGTCAACCTAATCGCTAAAATTAAGCCACCATCCTTAAAGAACTCTGGATCCAATTCTTCTGGACCAGTTGGTCTTCCTCGTTTCAGATTAACTATAGCCTTTTGAACTTCTGCTAGAGTTGGGGGACCTACTTCAAAGTTCCATTCACACTGTCTGCGTATGGAGGTTAGTTGTAGAGTAGCTGAAGGCTAGCTGAACTGTTCTCTGAAATGTTCCGCCCATCGTTCTAAACGTCTGGACTGAGAGCAGATGAGGGTGTCGTGTTTTTCCGAAATAGTCTCACTTACACTTGACTTATTAATTCCAGTTCCTTTTATTAGTCTGTAGAGCTGTCTTGTGTTCCCTATAGCCGCCGCCTTTACCATCTCTTTTGCTTTCGTTACCCACCACTGCTCACGGTCGTTCCTTAGACTTTTGGTTAACCTAGATCTGATTTGTTGTCGCTCTTCATCATATTCAGAGCCGGATGGGATGAGTTTACGAGAACCCATCAGTGCAATAGACCTTGAGGAAATCCATTTGTTCTTTGTAACCCTGTAGTTTAAATCACCAACAGATGTCGCTGCTGTTTCCACAGCTATTTGTATATCTTTCTAAGCAACATCTGGGTCAAACTCATTTTCGGAACTACCTAATTGTGACCTCAGTTGTTCGTGGAACCTACTTTTGGTTTCCACGCTACTCAATTCAGTTCTAATTGGTCTTTTTGGTGTGGCATTTTTACGTCCAGTGAGGCGCAAGCAGATGCGTGTCCGTATTAGGGCATGGTCGGAGTCCAAGGAGGTACTCCAGAATGAGCGACAATCTTCTACCGACCCTCTCCAACGATGACTGATGGCAATTTGGTCTATTTGAGTCCATCGTTGGTTTGGTGTAGGGGGTCGCTATGTTAGACGATGTCTCTCCTTATGCTTAATATTTGTGTTTGCTAATAATAAACGATTGTCTGAGCACAGTTGCAGCAGACGATCACCATTATCTGTTCGCTGTGCCGGAATACTAAAATGCCCACCTAAATGCCTTTCTGTTTGGTTTAAACTACCTATCTGGGCATTAAAGTCACCTGCTACGAGTACTGTGTGTGAACGTTTAGCTTTCTGAAGAAGTTCAGATGGCTTTCTGTAAAATCCATTTTTCATTTCATCTGAGCTGCAGTCGGTGGGAGCGTAGGCAGAAACGACAAAAAGGCAACGACGTATATCCCTATCCTTCCGAGTTCTTACGGAGCCGTTTAGCCGAGCATCATATAAACGACCGTTAACGGGGATCCACTCTAACAGTGTTTGTTCCGCCCTCATGCTTAGTGCTATGCCTACTCCTGCCAGTCGACGAGAACTGACCGTCGGGTCACCAGATACACGGAGGGTGTATCTCGTTGGCTCTCCGTTTTGCTGAGGTAAGGTCAAGTGAATGACCACACTGGGATCCTGTATGCGTGTTTCAGAGACACAGCATACATCAATGGTACGAGATTCTAGGGTTCTAGCCAAGGAAGCCTGTTGACCGATTTGACATAGGGTGCGTACGTTGAAGGCTCCAATGTGTAGTTTGGAGCGAGGTTTCAGTAGACCTAGGGCAGTGTTTTGCGCATTGGAATCGCTGGCTATGGTGACACTTGAGAACGAAGCTGAAAGCGGAAGTTTAGAGGTGAAAGTTAATCTAGGGGGAATAATAGGAATTGAAAAGGGAGGTTGATTATGAATCCAGTGGTCTTGAGTGCTGTTAAAGGTATGAAGGCAGTTGTCACTTCCCGGTCGCCCACACCGTGGAAGGGTTGTTCCGGAGGTACCTGAAAAGGAAATTGGATTAGAAGTGGTCTTAGTGACCTGGGAGCGTGACCGCAGTGCTTAAGGGACAACTGCTTGAGGTCGGTCACACACGACCTTTTTATGGGTAATTTTTGTGTTAGCTCCGTACTTGTTGGGACCTTACCGCCGGAGACGGATATGCGTGGGATAAGGCGAGGTGTGCATTTTAGGGTCGACCTTTTTCTAACCCCACCCCTCCTTATGAGAAGGCAGCATTGCTGTTATGCTGGTTGTCTGAAGTAAACACCTTACTGCTGTTACACCTCGTAACAGTCAGCAGTACGACTTCGCCTTCGGACCTTAGGTTTGTCTTAGGTTAGTCTTACCGTTCGTCAACCGACCTGTCTGACATGGTAGGACCTTGAGGAACGGTTGTTCCAGCCAGTATAGCTCGGTTGGCTCATCACGATAGGCAAGCCCGACCACCACATCAAGGTAGCAACAATGATCGGGTTTTGGTTCAATAGACTGATTCATTTTTATGTGGGGTAATTTTTTAATGTATTTATATACGAGTGTTTATTTTGTTGTTGTTATAACTCCATCATTTACTTATGTTGTTTTAGACTCCAGTCATGTTCAATTGATCACTAGAACTGAATGTTAACTTCGTTTGTTGCTTTTCGAGTCATAAATGAATCAATCTCGTTCTGTTCTTAAACAGCTAAAACATTTTTCGTGTGTACGTTATCTAGCGTAAGAAATGAAATATTCGAAAATCGGGTTTTAAATTTAGAATAGGTCTCTCTGATAATGGAAATTTTGTCTTCTCACAGAAAAGTGTCGGTGCTGATGTTGATGTGGTTAACTATAATACACCTGGAATTTATTTTACAGCTTACAATCCAGAAGGATTTATTTTAAATACAGGTGTCAAGGTGATTGGACCATGCACTGCTTTTCCGCGGTTCGCTCTTAGTTGGAAGGTATGTTGTTTGTTTAGCTCGGTTATAGATAATGTGAACTTTTTATTTAAGGTGAAAAATGCTTTGGATATTTCTGAGGAGTCTTTATCTTTGCTTTTCATGCTGGAGCCTCCACTTGGTATGTTGATGGTTGTGCTATGTTGCTAAATGATCAACGATTATTTCTACAGAGGTTCTTATCATTGGTAAGGGAGAAACAAAAAGCCCAGTTGACTACCAACGAATACTAAATATATGCTGGAAGCATCGTCTGCCTGTGGAAGTGATGTCAACAGTTAGTGTTCACTTTTTCTACTTTTGTAGTTTATCAGTTCTTGTAATGTTCTCGAACTTCTTAAGTCTGCTTAGGTACTTTCTAAAATTATAGTCGGATAATATTGGTTCTAGCTAAATCCACCCGTCCTTACCGTAATGTACATGGTTATTAATAACTATATCAAGACAAAACTCTACGGCTGTTTTTGAGCCATTCAGTCAGTCATTTAGTCGCAACTTAGAACCTGGTACGTATGTACATCGGTCCGAGTTGCCATACCCTATAGAACAGAGATGAAATTATCAGGCCGAGTCCCAGAATGGAAGAGGTAGTAACAGTATGAGTGGCGATAAAAAAGATTAAGCATCGAAAATACGATTCGAGAAGAAAATATGAATTAGTGAAATAGAAAAGTTACAAGAAATCCAGAAGCTCAGAACTTCAGAGAAGATGAAGAATGGACGCACATGCACCATCGCAAATGATTTTGAACCATGTTAATCAGTCTTTAATCATTGTTCACGATAATCACGCGGACACAAACTAGGTAGTCTACACCTGTTAACACGGTACAGTCCGATTGTCGTTGACTTCATAGACTGGTGCCATATTTTAATTTACTTGTCCCTTTCGTTCTTCCAGCCTACTTTTGCACCTGGCTACCCATCGAGGTAAGAAGTGGTTGGGCATAAATAACACGTTTTATTCGCCTCCGTTGATGAAGATGGCTATTCTTAGTGGCCATGTTTCGTACTTATAAAGTAAAATGGAGCGTACTTCTGAGTGTCAAACTCGTCCTCTGGCTGGGAGACGCAAGGCAATGGTGAAGCGATAGCTTTCATCGTTGCTTAAGTTGATCAGGAGACTACATTATATCATCGTCTTCACTAAACAAGACTATATCATGTGCATATTCTAAGTTAAGAAGTGGAAGATCAAGCTCTGAAAAGTCAGATGACAAAAGTGTTATTTTTAAAAGTTTATCTGTGACGAAGTTAAGTGGAAATAAGAGTGGCGGGCAACCCTGACTAACACCGATTGAAGTAATAAATTGTGATGGCAGTACTGTGTGATCTCTGACCCAACCAGTACTGTTTGAGTAGAGAGACTTCAAGGTAGACTTACTTCTTTGGCAAGCCTTTGTATGATATACATTGCTGTAGAGCCTCACAGCCAACAGAGTTGAACACCGCACTAAGGTCAAGAAGTAGAACCATAGTCGGGCGTCGAAAAGTATGTGTATGTTTCTGAATCTGCCGAGGGGTGAGTATTTGGTGTATATATTCGCGTTCAGATCTGAAACCAACTCGGTTTTCTGGAGTTTGGTCTTTGTGGGTTTTAGTTGGGCATGAAACTATTATTGTGACCAGTATTTTAGATATGATATTCATTAAACTGATGCTTCTGTGATTGTCACGAGAGGAATTTCACCCTTTCTGACAAACTCGGGCGATCAGCGATCGAGACCAGTCAGATTAGATTTCGTTAAACTCCCGAATCCTAACTAAGACCTCCGTCAATCTAGCTGCTAAAACTGAATCACCATCTTTAAAACTCTCATGGGTTAGTCCATCAGGCCCTACTGCTCTTTCATTTTAGATTATTTATATCCATTTCAATGTCTCTCAGATCTGAAGGACTTAAATCACTGTGATTCAGGTTGCCTGAAGACAGTGGGTTACTGAAATGTGGCTGTTGAACTGTTGTCTAGTGTTCTGCCTATAGGTCCAATCTTCTAGATTGAGTGAATAATATGCCGGTGTTTTTCCGAGTTAGCCTCACGAACTTCTGGGTTTTTAATACTTGTTTCCTTGATAACTCCGAACATTTGTCTACTGTAACCTATCACCACTTTCTTTTTTCCATCTCTTCTGCTTTCGCTACTGTTGTAATTTCTCTTATCACGACCCAGCTTCTCTTATTGCTTAGTATTCTTCGACACCACCTCACTCGATAAGTCCCCAAATCAGAACACTATTAAAGGGGAAGGTTACTATGATCCAAATAAATGGATTGAATGAAAGTAGGAATCTCCCTAAAATCTCTTCTGTAGTCGACTTTTTGTTCAGTAGATGCCACTGGAATCCACTGATTTCTATTAACATTTTGGTTTTATTTACTGTTAAATATCATGGCTGTTTTTACAGCCAAGGTATCTCTCGGTGGATATCACTTTCATGGTTGACTGACTTCTATAATTGTTTCTGAAATACATTTTATACTTTTTCATCAAGTCTAACTGTTATGGTTTTCTTACTGTGGCTTTTCTATGTGCAGTAAGATGCAGACAAATGTGTTCTCGAACTAGAGCATGATTTGAGTCTAAACGTGTGCTTCAGAATGAATCAGTCTTTCGAGCTTCTTGAACGATGGCTGATGGTAATATAATCCTCTTGAGTAGTTCAGCTGGTCTTCAGCTACTCTACAACTAACCTCCATACGCAGACAGTGTGAATGGAACTTTGAAGTAGGTCCCCCAACTCTAGCAGAAGTTCAAAAGGCTATAGTTAATCTGAAACGAGGAAGACCAACTGGTCCAGAAGAATTGGATCCAGAGTTCTTTAAGGATGGTGGCTTAATTTTAGCGATTAGGTTGACTAATATTTTAGCTAAGATCTGGGAGTTAGACGTTATTCCATCTGACTGATCACAATCACTCATCGTCCCAATATATAAGAGAGGGTTAAAATCCTGTGACAACCATAGAGGGATTAGTTTAACTAATATAGTATCTAAAATACTATCCTCAATAATTATCGGGCGCTTAACAAAGACTCGTGAACTGTAAACATGAGAAAGTCAGACTAGATTCAGTCCTGATCGAGGTTGCATCGACCATATATTCACTATTCGTCAGGTTTTAGAACACGGGCATGCTTATCGGCTTCCGACAATGGTAGTCTTTTTCGACTTTAAAGCGGCATTCGACTTTGTAGACCGAGAGGTTGTGTGGCAGTGTCTGTCATTGAAAGGCGTACCTCAGAAGTAGATAAACTTTGTGAATTCTCTTTGCTCGGACACTACAAGTCGAGTCATATTTTACGGCGAACTGTCACCTGCTTTTGCGACCCCGAGTTGTGTCCGTCAAGGCTGTTCACTTTCTCCAATTTTGTTCAATTTCATCATAAACATACTGCTAGAAATAACGTCATCGTCGACTGAACTCTCGGGCATTGATCTCCCTCCAGAAGGTCCACTTATCGACTTAGAATACGCAGATGACATAGTCCTGTTTGGTGAAGACGCTGATAAAATGCAGTCTTTTGGTTGGTGTCTGACAAAATTTCAGCACGGATTCGAAAAGCTCGTTTGGATTTTGCCAACTTACGTCACCTATAGCGAAGGCGATACATCCGTCTATCAATAAAAGGACGAGTATACTGCGCGGCAGCCCGTTCTGTTTTAATTTACGGCAGCGAAACATGGCCATTAAGAGTAGAAGATACTCGTAAGCTACTAGTATTTGACTAGAGATGCCTTAGAAATGTTACTCGCATTTGCTGGGATCACCGGGTAAGTAATAGTGAGGTTAGACGCAGGGTATTACGGAATGATGGTAAATCAGTTGATGAGGTTGTGAATCTTTATCGACTGAGATGACTGGGCTACGTGTTACGCATGCCTGAACACCGATTACCACGACGTGCAATGCTAAACGGTGTTAGAGATGGTTGGAAGAAAGTTGGCGGTAGCCAAACCAAAACGTGGCATCCCAGCTTGAAGTCACTAACTTCTAGTCTGAGCCATGCTGGTAGATGCAGACTACTTGGTTGGGGTCCTCGTGACTATCGTAACCAATGGTTGGAGACTGTTGGTGACATGGCTCAGAATCGATCACAATGGCGTCGATGTATACACTCTCTGTCCTCCCTTAAACTAAGAGATTAAAATCACTTCATATCTTTCTTCCTACAAACTAATTCTTTCTTCCTGTACTATATCCTTACATACAATCTTTCTTTTATATATTACCACCATTGGATTAACTACTATGAATCCGGTGTCCATCTTGTTGTGTTAATGAGGTATGGCAACTTGAACTGATGCATATATGTGCCTGGTCCTATGTTGTAGCTGACTGACTAACTAACTGAGTTCATTGTTGATTCGATCGTAGGGTTCACCATGCCAGCCGGTGTTCTTCCTTATGTTTAAATTTGGTGCTTGTCGACGGTTATCTGCGCATAGTTGCAACCGTCGGTTTCTATTATCTATTCGCTGAGCCGCCTCATCGTATAATCTACCTAAGTATTTTTCGGTTTGGTTCAGTTTACCTACATGAGTATTAAAATAATCTGTAATTGCTTCTGCATCAAAGTGTTTAGCTCTTCTTTCGACGTTCGATAGCTTCCCATAAAAGTCATCTTCAGCTTTATCTGAGCTGCAGTCATTGGGAGCTTAGGTAGAGAGAACGAGGAAGCAGCGACTTTTGTCATTATCTTTCCGAGTTCTTACTGTCCTGTTTAGTCACACAAGCAGCTTTTTATTGGAATGCAGTCTGGCAGACCCTATTCTCCTGGTGAACTTAGTCATACACTCACAAAACGAGGCCACGGGCAGTAACAGTGTTGGTCTCTAGGTACACAAGGAGTAAAACGTACCTGTTCTTTATATGGACAAGGTTAGGTCAAATGAACGACTGTACCTGAATCCTGTATGCGCGTTTCAGAGGCGTAGCATACATCGGTGGCGCGAGATTCTAGAGTCCTAGTTAAAGAAGCATATTGTCCTATCTGACACAAGATTCGAACATCAGAAGCTCAAACATTTAGTTTAGAGCGTGGTTTCAGGAGACCAGAAATAACAGTTCATGAACTGAAATCATTAGCAGTAGTGGTGTGTGGTGATAAAAGTATGCGAGAATAGTTAGTTATAGGGATGGAAGAATTATTGGATGATGGAGGTATTCGACCGTGAACAAGATTATCTTCAATGCTATTAGAGGTATGACGGCAGTCGTCAATTTCCTGCTCCCCACATTATGGAACGATATTTTTACTGAGGGACCTGGAAGTAAA